GATAAGATAATGGAAAAAATAAATCATAGAACTAATACATACAGATCAATAGCACAACATAAGATTTAAGTCATAAATGATCCTGTATATTTTGAATTGCACATATAATAATATAATAATATAACTCTGATTTACCACCGTATTCTACCATCTTGGAGATTGTAATATATTGTATAATTTTCTCTCCAAATATTAGCAGTCTTTTCTCATCACCATTTTGCAGCCAGATTTCTGCACCATTTTTCTTTTCCCTATTCATATAGGTCACACATGTTATTTTCTTGAGGTGATTGAATGAGAATAAATAAATAAATAAATGAGTGTCTCTTTCACACAAATATACATATATTTTAATATTCTAAGGAAATCTAAAATTTGGGAATTTTAATCTATTTGGCAAATTGAAGACAGATAATTGATATAAAAATAACTTTGAAATAGGTATTCCGTATGAATGCACGTTTCCCACTCAAATGTAATGAATATAATTATTTAACATCACTGGCTTATCTATTTTAGATTTATCTTGAGATAGTTTTTCTCAAGAAGTATTTAAAAAATGAAAATTAAAAGTTATAATAAAAAATAATGGAGTTAAATGAGTATTTGTAGAGCTGGAAAACACAGTACTCTCAATAAACTAAATTTGCATTATTATATTTCTAATAGGAAATTCAGCACAGCTTTGTTTTATAACAATTTTATAGCTGTCACTACTTCATAACTTGGCTGGAGTGCCCATTAAAAAATTCTTAATGCCATTTAATTTTGTAATATCTCAGTATTCATTTAAAAGACGTATTAAATTTCACCACATTTAATATATTTATTATTTATTTAATCAAAGATTAGATTATGTATTAGAAGTCATTATATATGTGAATAGCTGGTGCTTTAATTTTATAGCAAGTAATGTTAGAAGGAAGCATTGTTATTTTATAGCAAGTAATGATAAATATATTATTTTATATCCATTTAAATGACTTTTATTATAACTTGGCACACATCAATTCCCATTGTCAAAACACAGTTTTAGTATAGTATTATTGTTGGTTGTACACTCAGCCAGATATTTAGACTGGATTTGGCAATTTTGTCTACCTATCCACTACTTTCCAAGGCCCTGGGATAAGGAGATGTGTAGAAAGACCTGGTGGTGTTGTAACTTTGCAATATTTCAGAGAGAGAGATGTCTCGGGTTACTTATGCTTGGTTCATAATATATGTTCTGATACAGAATTCAAAGAGTTTTGAGCAGTTTATTTATTTATTTATTTATTGGTTCGATTTATATGCTGCCCTTCTCCAGAGACTCAGGGCGGCATACAATGCATTAAGCAATAGCCTTCATACTTTTGTATATACCTGCTTAGTAGGGCTTTCGGCCCCTCCCTAAATGGTGTTCTTTTTTATACAAAGTCAGCTTATTGCCCCAGCAAACCGGGTCCTCATTTTACCTACCTCGAAAGGATGGAAGGCTGAGTCAACCTTGAGCCTGGTGAGATTTGAACTTGCAGTAATTGCAGGCAGCTGGTGTTACTTAACAGTGCTTTAATCTGCTGCGCCACCAAGGCTCTTCAAGTACGGTATAACTTGTGGATTTTTTAGGTGAAGCAGTTTCACATGAGCTGGAACCTTCACAGTTATCGCTTTGCAAGTTTTGAATTGTATATAGAAATTGACTACATAGGCAGGATTTGTCTCTTCCTACAAATTGACAAATTTTTGCATTCAAAACCTTGATTGAACTTCTGAGTGATAGTTTATTCTTAAATCTTCTGAATTGTATGTAGGAACATAAGTGATTTAAGAGTCTCCGTGCAAGTCAAGGAATAACAGCATTGTCCTGCTCATTGCTGAATATTTGATAACTGAGAAATGTGCTGTTCTTTGTGAGTAGAGGTATTGCATATTTTTATCATAATATGAGGATATTGATATTCTTCTCCCCTTTGACTTTGTTTAATCACTTGTTAAAACTTAAGCAACTATTACTGGATATTCAAATGATAAATTCCATACTTTAATTGATAATTTTGTCCATGCTGAATCAATACTTAATTGATTTATAATTAAACATAGTTTAAACATCATTATTTCTTATTTATTTAGCCTTTTTAAAAGCTAAAAAGCTTGAATATTATAACATTTTTTAGAAGAAAGTTTTTTAAGCCTTCAAATCATTTTGGTTATCCTTTTTTTCCTGCATATGTTCCTGCTGTTCTCTGTTCTTTTTGTGAGGTGGTATTCAGAATTTTATTCTCATCCAGGGGTGTTTCAGGGTTCTATTCCGAGGATTATTGCTCTGGAGAGTTGTACAAAAGTTATACTACTACTACTACTGATTTTGTTTTCAGTACCTTTCCACATAGACTTCGCATTTTTGCAGCATCTAGATCAGTGGTGAAATCAAAAAAATTTTACTACCGGTTCTGTGGGCATGGCTTGGTGGACATTGCAGGGAAAGGATATTGCAAAATCCCCATTCCCTCCCCACTCATGGGGGAAGGATATTGCATAATCTCCATTCGCAGCCCACTCTGGGGCCATCCAGAGGTGGTATTTGCCGGTTCTCCAAACTACTCAAAATTTCCGCTACCGGTTCTCCAGAACCTATTAGAACCTGCTGGGTTTCACCCCTGATCTAGATGTTTTATCAAAGTATGTCCAAACCCCCAGATCACTAGTCAGTAATGATAGAGCCACCATGAAATTAAAATTCTGTGTCCCGAACTGCATTTCTTTCTATTCTAGTGTTTTTCAACCTTGACAATTTCAAGGAATTTCTGGGAGCTGAAGTCCTAGTGGACTTCAGCTCCCAGAAATTCCCAATAAATATGCTGGTTGGAGAATTCTGGGAGTTGAGGTCCACACAGCTTAAAGTTGCCAAGGTAAAGAAACACTGCTTTTATTCCATTTAACAGAATTTTCAGTTTTAGCACTTGTATTTTTCCTCTTTAGATGAGTTCTTGTGACAGCCTTAATATTATATAAGTAAGCTACACTAATAATCTTGGCCATCCTATTATCACCTTTTTTTTCTTCCCAATCAACTATAATTGTTGGGGGGGGGAATGATACCTGGGAGATCTTATATTCATTGCACTCTTCAATTGTAGCAGCAACCTGTTTTCTGTTGTTGTTTTTTAAAACAAGTTCTGTATACAGATTTCTACTTGAAGTTGCATTGCAAAACCAAAACATTGCAATGAGGAAGAATGCTTTGCTATGCTTTCTGATCTGAAGAAAATCTTCCATTTGGAATTTCTCTATACAGAATAGTTTGGAAACAGATAATATAAGCCAGGTGTCCATGTGTGTTGAGGATGCATGTATCGTAGGAAACCTTCATATTTGGACTCCCGCCTTTCGATTTAGGGGTTCCTTCATAAACCCAGTTTATGTGCAAGGACACTGTTTTTTAAAAAAACCAGCAGCAATATTTATATAGCTTATCATTGTTTGAGAATAAAGAAATGTTCTATTGTGAAAGGTACTTTTGTTTATTTATTCAAACAAATGAGAAGCATTATGGCAGCAAGAAGCTAATTTAGCCATGAAAAGGTTACTTCTTTGGCTTAATGTACCTGTCATGTATAATAATGAAATATGAAAGGATTTTAATTTATAATAAGGTAATCAATCAAAGCTAATTATGGTTTATGACAACACTGTTGTTCTGTGTTAGTTCACGGAGAGTTGAAATGGAATATTTTAAAGCTGAAGATCAAGATGAGACAATATAAGGGAAATCAAACCATTTGTTTGAAGAGAAAAGTTAACATTCTCCCTGAGAGTCTAATATATTTAAGTAAGCATCATTAAAAATAACGTGAGTTATTACTGCAATCTTAAACGAGAAATTAGCCTTACTACCACTTTAATACCAAAGCAGTTACATAGTAAATGCCACCTAATAGAACTTGCAATATATATATTAGTTGTTTACAGTTGTTTAATTACAATTAACATACTGGCTTAAATAAATTTTCTGCCTAGACTGGAATTATGCCTTCTCGTGGTAGTCACCAAGTACTATGAAGACCATATATTTGTCATGTTGTTTTTCCCCCTAACATTAGCTAATCATAAATATGTGTCTTGTAGCAATATACCAGATATTGCATTGTTTTTTCATGACTAATAATTCCTTATGGTATTAAATAATTAAATGGTTACTGATCAAGTTGTAATTATTTTTTCTGCTTAATTTGATAAACTCTTGTTTGCCTGTCAGAAATCCTGTCTTTCAATTATCTTAGTAGCATCTGTCCCAGAGACAAAATATAGTAATACTTTTTAGCTTTCCAATGCCACAACTATTTCCCTCCTCTTTTGGTTATCAAAGTTTCTAATTGAAAGGAAGGCATCTATTTCTGACTAGAAACAACAGGTGATGAAAATAGGATTTACAGGAAGTAAATGGAAAGGGAAAACTGGGAAGGAACGTAAAGAGAAATAGTAGGGGGAAAAGGCTGAACTTAGATGGCAGACAGAATATGTAAAAGAAATTAGAGAAGGTCCCTCCCTCTACGTTTGCAAAGCTGTTTCATATAGTCATATATAGTTTCCTATATTTTCTTAGTGGAAGTGTTTATAATTAAAAAAAGGTTCCATAAAATAAATATTATTCTTGATCTTAAGGTCATCTGAAATATTTGTATTCTAGGCATACATTTAAAAATACATGGTTTTTTTTTAATTCCAAATAAACTGTGTTCAGTATAAACTATATAACAAGCCCTAAACAGTTCTGGTTTCTTCTGTCTTAAGGATATAAAAGAGAAAACAATAGACATATTATTTTTAGCTAAAGCTTGTTTCACTCTGCCTGCGTACTCAAACGATAAACACAGCTTTGAGAAAGCAGAAGCCATATACTGTAAATTATGTATGCAGTATAAGCTTGGAACCATGTAACTGTAATATTTAGATCATTTAAATTAACCCTTGACTTAAATTGTGAGAAACTAGTATCAAAATTAAATGCATGCTTATACCTGAAGAGAAGAGCAGTAATCCTTATTTTGCTTACAGTCTTAGTAAAAGACATGCTTTTCAGTGTTGGTGTGAGGAAACGCGTCAGCTAGAATGACCCACTGCTTTAGCTCAGCCAGCAAAGGAAGGGGTGGGGAAGAAGAGAAGGCTCTGTTGCTACAGTGGTGATATCACACACCATTGCTAACATGTGGTTGGCTATTTTATGTTTCAGATCACTGCTTGTAGTGGAACACAAAGAAACCGCAGAGACTTCCGCATCCTTCAGTGAGAAGAAAGAAACCAACAGAGCAAGATTAATACTGGCTTGTTTCTGGTGGCTTGTTTGTACAAAAGGCGGGTGGGGGGGCGGGGGGGGCAGAAAAGAAGGAAACATCCCTGATATTTAACGAGCTGTGAAATGAAGCACTGCTGCTTCTCCTGCTAACCTTCAGATTCCAAGGTTCATCTGCTATTCATTGTGCTTAATATACATGTTTCTGCACCGTGCATTTAGAAGATCCCAGAAAGGAATTCAAAACGGCTGCGGGGGAAAAGCCACCAAACATGCCTACAGAAACACTACAGACAGGTAGCATGGTCAAACCTGTCAGTCCTGCCATCACTTTCACTTCCGCTGTTCCTCTCCGCATTCTAAACAAAGGACCTGATTATTTCCGCAGGCAAACGGAGCCTAATCCAAAAAGACTTAGTGCTGTGGAGAGGCTGGAAGCTGACAAGGCAAAATATGTGAAAAGCCAAGAAGTCATCAATGCCAAACAAGAACCCGTGAAGCCAGCAGTGCTTCCAAAGCCGCCAGTGTGCCCTGCAGCTAAACGAGCCTTGGGCAGCCCTACCTTGAAAGTATTTAGCAACAATGCAAAGACTGAGAGTGGTGTCCAGAGGGAGAACCTGAAATTGGAAATTTTGAAGAATATTATAAACAGTTCAGAGGGCTCCAGTTCAGGTTCAGGTCACAAACACAGTTCGCGAAATTGGCCTCCCCACAAATCTGATACGGGAGAATTAAATCGTCACTCATTTGCGGAATCCCTAAAGGTTTATCCCAGCCACGGTTCTAACAGTCCTCAAGAAAGCAGCTCCAGTGTAAACAGAAGGCTACTGGAACAATCAGCAGAATCTTTCTTGCATGTTTCGCATAGTTCCTCAGACATTAGAAAAGTATCCAGTGGTAAACCTTTAAAAGCAATACCCTGCAGTAGTTCAGCTCCACCTCTGCCTCCAAAACCCAAAATTGCAACCATCACTACGTTGAAATCACCAGAGATGGACTCAGTGGAATCCACTTGTGGAGTAAGCAGAAGACCTTCCCTTCAACGATCAAAGTCGGACTTAAGTGATAGATACTTTCGAGTTGATGCAGACGTTGAAAGGTTCTTTAACTACTGTGGACTTGATCCTGAAGAGCTTGAAAATCTTGGAATGGAAAATTTTGCAAGGGCTAACTCTGACATTATCTCTCTCAACTTTCGCAGTGCAAGTATGATCAGTTCAGACTGTGAACAGTCTCAGGACAGCAACAGTGACCTTAGAAATGATGACAGTGCCAATGACCGTGTGCCATATGGTATTTCTGCAATAGAAAGAAATGCCAGAATCATCAAGTGGTTATACAGCATCAAACAAGCTAGGGAATCACAGAAAGTGTCCCATGTGTGAGTGAGTTTTGGGGAGGGGAGGGGGGAGGCAAAGAAAGACTAATTTGTGTATATTCAGTTGTGAAGGGTTGTGAAGTCTACTTGAAGTCTTAATACACTTCTCAGATCTCTTTTTATGTTCCTTGTTGTGCAATGTTTTCAAGTTGCATGCCTGTCAACATGTGAACTGACCTGGCTTCTACTTGAATAATTACTAGCTACAGAGCCTGGCTGAGCATACACACATTATCTGCCAAAAGTTTAAGACCAGAATCTAAACAGGGCTTTTGTCTTTAAATAAATTGTTTACATTGAATGGTGATACGGCTTCTTTATAATAGATTGTAGTCTCTTGAAGTTGTGTGGTTTTGTTTTGTTTTTTAAATATTTGGCCACTTTTGGTATTTTAAGCACAACTTAATTTGCTTAAGAAAGAAAAAGAGGAGACATTGCAAAAATAAGGTTATAGCAACCCTTACCTAGAACCGCATAGTAGTTTGTGGAAAAATGGATCAAATGAAGTTTCTGTTACCTACAATGCATAATGCATCTTGTTTCATTCTTTGTTGTTTTTCTTTTCAAGCTGTGTTCCAAGGTTCTCTGTTTTAATATTCTAACCAGAGACGCCTTCATACATACATTCTTTCTATGATCTTTTTATAAATACTATAAGTGGTTATGAAAGTGTTACAGACTTTTTAAACTGCTATTGTGGATTGTGATGTAAAAAAGATCTGTCATATCTTAGTTTCCCTAATAATGGGCATTTTTTTTTATTTTTTTATTTTTTGGAACGTAACTAAGATAGTGAACAATGAAAATGATGATGCCTTTAAAGGAAGGTTCCTTGTCTTAAACTTTTGACGGGAGTTGTTAAATCCTGTTTGCTGATCTTGAATGCCTTTAAATAGACAAAGCACATCATGATTACAAGCTCCTGCTGCTGACTACATTTTTGTAGACCTGTTTGAGCATTTCATGAATAGAAAATGGAAATACACAGCCATAGCAGTGTAAGAACTTCTTACCCAAAAATTTAACACACAATATAGCTGAATTATATCTGAGAAAGTGTCATTATGTTGTCTTAAATATGTTATATCTTAAGGCTGTGGAAGTTTGTTACAGCTCTAGGAACTGTAGAAACATGACAGTATGTAGCTTTATTTTTGGTTGTCCCTTACTCCCGTCCCTCCAGTGTTCAGTGCTGCACGTCAATCTGTTACACTTTTTTTTTTTTTTTACAAACTTGTGTCTTCCCAATGGTTTAACTGTCACATCAATGTGGCAGTTGTGATGCATAGCAGAGAAGTTAAAAGTGCAGTGGTCTATTTCATTATTATTATTACTATTCTTATTACTCATGCTTTGAAGTATTTTGCAGCACTATCTTATACTTCGTCAGCTAATAGGAAACTTTTTAATGTGTAAATGCTGTAAGACTTTGTATATATTTCAGTTGTTACGAGATCTTTAAGAAAAGTGTTATGCTAATAAATAGCTATTGTTGCAGCTACTGCTTATGTGTTTTTCTGTTGATTTTAATTTGTGATGCAATAATGGAGAAATAAAAACTAGGGATTAAAATAAAATTTGATTCAGTGTAGGATGAAATAGGATATTACAGAGAAATGCTGTTGTATGGGGAGATTAATTATGGGAAGAAAGCTAACTTCTTTGGGATTCTCTTTCCATTATCATGTAAGGTAGAAAACATGATAAATAATTGATTTAGCCTTCCAAAACAATTTGTTTTTAAAACCCATATTGATAGATAATTGATAGATTATCACTTTTAAAGAGACCCATAGAACTAAGATTATTATTACAATACCATAATTGTGAGTACAGTTGTGATTGTATGTCAAGGACTACCTATATTAAGTACAATTCCCAGTCACTAAAACCAGGGGTCCCCAACCCCGGACCATAGCCCACTACTGGGCCTTCATCTGTTCAGAACTGGGCTGCGGAAGTGGCGGTCAAGCACATGTACGCACATCCCCACTTGCATGAACGGCGGCCATGTGTGTCAATGCTTGCCACTCACACAGAATTATCCCCTCTGTCTCCAACACTATTCACAAAGCCGGAAAGTTTGGGAACTACCCATGTTCTTTTACAGATAGCCTTTGACTGATGATGGTTCATTTAATGACTGTTTGAAGTTACAACACACCTCCTCAAAGCTATTTGCAACCCATTTTTGGAGTTACAGTGGCTGCACATAAACATGCAACAGTCACACTGTTGCATTTTGAGTGCTTGGCAATCCTCACCTTTGTGGCTGTACCCTGCAGCCACAGTCAAATACTCCCTCTTTTCTTCTGGGGTATTTAACTGTGTTGTCCTTAAGCAATAATCATAACTAGCCAATCTCGCATTCAAGGCACACAGCAATTCAGAAACATCTAATTTACTGACCGAATTTCCTCATAACTGAGAATGCTACTTTGGCAAAAGATGTAACATGTTGAACATACACATATGAAAATGTCATCTGCATCTTGTGTAGCAACTAAGTATGACAACACTCTTTTATGATCATATCATACAGTCCAAATTGACAAATAATGGGTGAAGTTGAGAAGTCTGGCATAGACCTAGTCAATATCAAATAGAATTGTGTTGGCATACATTAAAACAAAGCACACAGTCTCTAGGGAAATTTTCATACTGGTTGGATGGTTTTCATGCAACCAGTATTAAAGGATGCTATTTTAGCATTTGTTTAAGTGATGATTTTTTTTTATTTTATTTATTAATCACACTAAATCAAATATTGCACTATTCCAACTTGCTCTAACTCACATGTGTCAAACTCGCAGTGTCTTGTTGCCATCTGATGTACCATGATGTCATGGAGCTGGGGTGGGCGAGGCCTGTGCGTGACGCATCCGGCCCGCAGGACACCAGTTTGACATCTCTGTTCTAACCCGTATTAGAAGTTACTGACTGACTTTATATTCTTGTAACCATGCTTTGTTTAACCATGGTTGTTGAAGTTGTTGAAGCAGCACAACTTCAAGTTTGCTGTGGCAGGATGAGGTGAACATAAACAGCTGATATTTATTAGAAAATAAGATTTCTGGTTCCTATTAAGGAATATCCTGCTTTTAAAAACATAGGACACAGAGAAAGTTGGAATCTTCAGACTGATTTTTATTTCTGATTGCTTCAAATAGAAATAAGGTATATCTACATTTGCTACTTAAACTGTTCCTGTTCTATGATCATGCTGGCTTTTCTGTAAACTTTGAAACTTAGTTTGAATAAATCCTGTCACTAAAACATTTTGGTAAATTTACAAGGTATTCCCCACAGGGGCTGAGAACTCTGGGGATGTTGAAATCCACACATCTTAAACTTGCTAATTTGAAAAACATTCTCCATTTGGGCCATTGGCTACCAAATGTTATTAGACAATAATAAAATAAATAAAATAATAAAAAAAATTAAAATGTAGTAAATTGTTATTAGAGGTCTGTAAGGGGCATGCATAAGCGCACCAACGTGCCTACCATCCCTGTCCTAATGTCCCCATTTATTCGTATCCATTTCATGTATTCATAATCATGTTTATACTTATATCTGTAATCTTATATATGCATGACAAAATAAATAAATAAAATAAAATAAAATAAAATAATAAAACAAAACTTTCCTGTGCCTTCCAAATTTTCCTGTTTGGAAAGCAATTACCAATCATTTTCTTTCCTGTGGGTAGATTTTTCTGGAAATCTCTTTTCCCCACTTTCCCACCATAAACACACAAATATACCCATATTTAAAATGAGATTTATAGAATCAAGATGCGCATACAGGCTAGCACAGTAAGGTGAATAAAATAAATCCTTTATTATTGCTCTAATTCTTTCCAGTATATTTTAGGCTCATTCCTATCTTTTCTCTAATAGAAAAATGGATGTAACTCCTCCCTTGCAAAGCTTCCAAACCAGCTAGAAGGCTGCTGGTTTGAAACCTGGGAGAAGCAGGGTTGTTGTTTTTTAAAAAATACTTTTTTTCTTTATCCAAGCTGCTTTTTCCTGTGCTTTCTTCTAAAAATAATCCAAGTAGATCATTTTACCATTCCTATCATCCCAGGGTTTCCTTAAATAATTCCGTATCACATATCCTTGAGAAGTTAGCATTTATATCTCCTTTTTGCTTTGTGATTTATAATTAAATAACAATCAAAAAAAAAATAATACAATTTTATCCCATGGCTCCAAAGTTTACTTCAAAATCTTTGCTATAGAATGTCAAACACTTAAAACTCCCAAGTATATAAAGTTGACAGGATCACTTTCATCGATATGCCTGATGACACTATTTTAGAAGTTTGCTAAGGTTGGATATTTTTCTGTGCATTCCTTGCTGATTCCCTATCTGCATCACTGGGTTCTCTGTCTACCTAGTTATTTTTTGTCACTATTTGTTTACCATTGATATCAATTTGCCTAGAACAACACTGAACTGACTGGGTCTATAATTGCTTGGTTTTCTTATTTTTTTAAAAAAAAAAATTCTGACTGACTATCTTCAACCCTCTGTTACAGAGCCTAATCTAAGAAATATATTTACTATGTTACATAAATATGGTAAACATTTGTGATTTCCCACTGAGTCCAGACAGAGATTAAAACTCAAAACAAAGAGAAGTTTCCATACATTCCTGACCATGGCATCTATTAAGCGGTAGACAAGCCTGCCTTCAGGTGTGGATGCTCCATCAATGGAGGTTTTCATACAATGGTAGGAAAATTGTTGTCTGGGATAGTTCGAGGAAATCTTATCCTGGACAGGAAGTTGGACTAGAAAGTGTCAAACATTACTTCCAACCTTATGATTCTATTAGTTAAATAATACCCATTGTTTTCTTAAAGTGAGGACCTTAACTATCACCTTACTTTTAGGATTTTCAAACTGTGAGTTGGGATACTCCAAAGATCACTAAGAAACTTAGAAGAGAAAAATCTTTTTTAAAAAATAAATAAATAAAAAAGATTGATCAGCCTTACAAGATCAGTGAATTGTGTAAACCCAATAAGCAGTTGTACTGCACAGTTAAGATTCCCCTCTACATTGGGAAATGAATATTTCAGAGAGATATTTGGAAATTGATATCTGTTCATTTCTATTCATATCTATTTTTATTACAGACGGATAATATATTGGTTAATTTATTTGTTCATTACAGGTAGTCATCAACTTAGGACCACAAGTGAGCCCAAAATTTCCATTGCTAAGGAAGACGATTAAGTGAGTTGTACCCCATTTTATGACCTTTTTTTGCCACAGTTGTTAAGTGAATCAGTGCAGTTGTTACAGGAATCATTGTTAAGCAAATATGGCTTCCCCATTGACTTTCCTTGTCAGAAACCAGCTGGGAAGATTACAAATGGTGATTACATTACTTCAGGACAGTGCAAGAACCAGTTGCCAAGCTGCAAGCTGCTGCAATAGTCGTAAGTGTGAAGTCACTTTTTTCAGTAATATTGTAACTCTGAACGGTCATTAAATGAATAGTTGTAAGTTGCGGATCTTCTGTAATTGAATCATTGGAATGTATTCTAACAGCCTACTGCCACAGGTTCTTAGGAAATACAGTGGTCTAATTACAGTACATAGCAAATGCATGCATGCATGCATCCATCCATACATACAGACAATGTAATTATTAAAAAATAAGTAATACCACTAAACTGGAGAATCCCTACATATACAACTTATATCTAAGTTATTACATGCCTGAACAAAAAAACACATTAAATATATAAAATAATGAAAAGGAATCAGTTTTCACGACAATTTACTTTGACTATTAATGCATTAACACTAAACATTTTTTAAAAAATATTTGCTTATTTGTAGAAATATAAAATATTTTGCTTAAAATATTTTATATTTCTACAAATATACCCAGAAAACAGATGTGTTTTCAATTTTCTCCTGTAAAAACCTTTTTGGATAGTTCAACATTTCCAAAGGGAGGACACAGCTGGAATAATTGCAGTCTGTGTCCTGGCTTGCCAGCTAACAAAAAATAAAAATCAAACAAAAACTCCACTTTAAAGCAGGAAATTTTAATCAAAATTCAAAGTGGAGTTTTTGACAGAGTTTCTTGGTTTCAGTTTTGGCATAAGTATAAAGCATGTAATTTACAATCTTAAAGATGGAAAATTTTAGGAAGCAGTAGATTAGTTTCTCCATGCCAAGAGTTTAAAAATATAAAAGATAAGTGTGTTCCTTTTTGTCTACTGCCTTCTTCTTTCTTTTGTATCTATTTAACTGCCCTCATTTCAAAAAGAATGAAAGCAGCTAAATTCTGGCTCCTTATATTCAAATAGCCACCTGTTTCTATCTCTTGTGTAGATTAAAGCTTTAAATATTGTCATTTCCACACTTAAATTCATTTCCCAGGCTTTAATTGAAACCATGTTGCTTTGTTTCCATAGAACAGAACAGAACAGAACAAAAATAGGAATAAGAATAGGAATAGCTATTTGATA